TCACATAAGGCCCTAGACACGGAGATATGTGGAAGCTACAGCTCCTCTCCCCGGGATAATAACCTTTCTAAGCAGCACAGCAAATGCAATCTTTATGCCATAAAGTCCTGTGTGAATTACTGTTCTGAACAGTCTGTCTGTGTCAACCCTTGTGATCTCATAGCAGATGAGTGAGGTTCCTATTGTATTTTTTCCGTTTTGTGCAACTAGACCCGAGGCACCAAGGACTGCAGCTCGTTTTCCACAACTGGACAGTGGGCAGTCTAGACTCAAATTCACACTCGCTGGATCTAGAGTCTAGCGCTCTCTCTCCCTCTCTCTCTCTTCAGAATTTTACTTTCTGTGTCAGGAGGGGGCAGCCTGAGCCCGTGGGTAGCTATGAGATGGGCTTGGTCTCTGGGTTAAGGAATCCTGAATTTGAAGCCCTGGCTCTTTCCGCGCCCTCTATCCTTCTGCTTTGGTGTAATCACAACCATGTTAGCAGTTTAAGAGCTGGAGGGTCTAGTTCTAGAAAGTTCTCTCCCAGGCACCTTTCCTTCCTCCCCCTCCCATCCCATTGTTCTTTAGTCTTTAGCTATTGCTTGTTAGCTTCCCAATCGTCACCTTATCCAAATTCAACTCTTACTGCTGTTTTAAAATTTAAATGTTTCCTTCAGTTCACTCACAGTATTTTAAATTAACAAACTGGTATTAAGAAAAAACTTTTTATCAGCACCATAATGGGAAAACCTATGCTATACGACATGGATAGACTTACATAAAAAAAAAATGTCTATAATCAATGAAAATAAGTCATATTTACCACAGTTATTAAATTCTAGCATAATATCTACTCTTCAGTGAAAGATGGAAATGAATGAGTATCAGGTGAGTGTGGAGGACATATTAGCACCAAATGAGGATTTTATTTTCCTTGATGTGACTATTGGATAGGAACACTAAAGAAAAGGAAAACAATTTTTCTCTGGGTTTTCCTGATCTCAGAACATCTACTCGGCACTTAAGATCTCCTTCCGGAGTGTGGGCCACTCCCACCAGGTTTGCCCCCGCCCTGCACTCTTCTCACCATATTGCTTTACCATTTCACACTCTGAAAATGGAGCGGATTCCTGTGCGGTCATTCTCTGCTGGGCTTGAGCTCCTCCAAGTCTCGAGAAATGAGCTTGACAGCAACCGCCACGGCGTGTGTGCACGCTGAGTTTCTGTCACTGTTACCTGCTTCCCATGTGGGATTTCTCAGGCGTGACTTCCTTCGGGTCTGAGTGCCAGCTAGGCACTGTGGGGACAGTCGTGGAAGCCGAGGCCCAGAGGAGTGGGGTAGCTTCCCAAGGTCACGCCACTTATGTGACAGAATTGGACTCCAGCCCAGACTTATCCATCCCCTGAGCTCCTGGTGCCCAATACACCTGTGCTCTGAAGTGATGGCCGTGGGTGCATTTTGTGTTGAAACAGAGCCGTGTCATCAGGGGTCATCAGAAAGTTGTTCCCCAGAAGCTGGGAAAGTTCTCTGTTCCCAGTGTCATAGGTGAACAGAAACAGAAGCCACTTTCCGAGCGGGGTGTGTGCATGCAGCATGCCGTGTGCTCCAGTGAGAAGTACTGTGAAATGAAAAATGAGATGAATGTTTCAGATTGTACAGTTCCCTAATTATGCTTTAATTATTCATATAAAACAAGTAAAATGACCCCTGACAAAGACATAAATGATTTAGGTAAAATCAAATATTAATAAGATGCTGCGTGTCCCTGGGTGTATTGTAACAGATGCACTCAAAATGCTTTGCCTTCGTCCTTCAGATGTAAAATATTATCTATAGGATTTATAGCAGACTGAGAGTGATCAATGGTATTGAAGACACTGCTGAGCTCATTCCTATGCATTTTGGCTTTGAACCTAAAGGTGTAAGACTAGTTTAACATTTTATTTTCTAAAATATCATATTGTATTTTACAGATCACCAAGTGATCCCCCACCCCCCATTTTGTTTTGTTTTGCTTTTTCTGGTGGTTGGAAAAAAATCAAAAGGATGATAATATTTCATGACACATGAAAATATATCCAAATTTCAGTGTGGATGAGTAGAGTTTTATCCAACATAGCCTGACCCATTCACTTTCGTAGTATGTTTGGCTACATCTCTGCTACAAAGATGAGGTTGAGTCGTTGCAACCGGGACCAGAGAGCCCAGAAAGCCTTACATATTTCCTATCTCAACCTTCACAGGAACAGTTTTCCAGCTCTTGTTCTAAAACTCGCATAGCGTGCCCTAAAGGGGGAGCAGTCCCTTAGCCTGTTTAATCAGCATACGAAACACTTGCTTTTACCTCATTTTATTCTTTAATTTGCAATCCCACTAATTGAACATTCATTGTATATTTTTCAGAAGTTCGAGAAATACTGCCTTTTGAAATGCCATGAAAAGGGGTTTATATGAGCAGGGTTCCTTCACTTGCACTTAATGCTTCCTCTGTATAGAGAAGTGCTGAACATAATGGCATTGTTTTGGCAATTGGTTCCTAGTCTAGCGTCTGTCTTTCATGAAGACCTAATTTTCATGCAGGGTTGGTCTCCGACAGTGGAACTGGGACTCCTTTAGGAAGAGGGGACCGTGAGGCTACGAGAGGGTCTCCTGGGCTTCAGCAGGCTTGGCCTTTGATCATTAACCATTTGATATTGGTTGGCATCTTACACTTAGCAGCCAGAAACTGTTTGGATGAATGAATGAATTCACCTTAGAAATCAAGAAAGGGGGAGATGTATCACTTATAAAATAAAACCTGTTTTTTATGCATTTGGATATCACATTCCTTGTGGAAAACACAATTTTTTGTTAGTGTAAGTCCAAGTTCTTTGGTCTTGAATTCTCTTTCCCATGTTTCAAGGAAGAGATTTTGGGGTTTGAGTTGATTGAGGCTCCCTGTGGACATGGACATTCATTCATATGTGTTCTTCTGCATGGGCGAAGGGAATTTTCTTATACTTGGAATGAATGGAAACGGTAAAGTAAACCTAATCTGCAATGATTTCAGTGACTGAATGAGTAGAGTTTGCGCTATACTTTTCTGAGCACATTTATCAAATGCAATGAATGCTTTACCCAACCCCGCTCGCTACCTTTTCACTGTTGTTGCCTTAATAATTGGAAGAACCTGCACATTTTATTTTCTGATATCTTGCCTTTTTCTGATTAAAGTAATGTGCCTCTCACCTTCAGCTTATCAGATATATTTCCCATCTCATTCCAGATCTTGAATCTTGGGGTAGACCCAGGAATCCCACTCTCCAGATAATTTTGATCATCAATCAGTATTAGGAGCCTTACTCTGTCATTGTCTCAAATTTCCCATCTGTTAAATGGATAAGACATTTTGAGACCATCCCTGGGAATTTCCATGATTTAGAGTCCACTGGTGCTTGAGAGCAGTCTGCAGCTACAATGTGCTAATTTATTCTGATGGCTTGTTTTTTATTTGTTTGTTTTTTAAATGGAAGATGAGGAAAGGTTATCATAAACGTTATTTGAAGCAACAGAAGAAATCTATTGAGTTTTCTTTGGACACTCACTTTGTTTCTCTCCCCTTTCATTTCCTACAGTTGCCATCCTTCTGAAAGACGACTATTTCGTCAGCGGCGCTGGCCTGCCTGGCAGATTCAAAGCGGAGAAGGTGGAGTTTCACTGGGGCCACAGCAATGGCTCTGCGGGCTCGGAGCACAGCATCAATGGCAGGCGCTTCCCTGTGGAGGTGAGAGAACTGGAAGCTCCAGCTGGCAAAGGGCAGCTGTGCTTGGCGTCTTTCCGTTAGTGAGATGCTGTGTCTTTACTCCTAGTCACTTTGCAAATCAAACGTGTACTGTTCCTCCCTTTGTCTGTGGAAACCCTTCATGTAAGCGTGGCAGGTGACGCTCCATCCTCACGTTCCCCACCCTGTTTAACCAGATGCACATAGACGTCACGGACATCTGGATTGAGTAGATTCAGGTCTGAGCGGTGATTTGCAAGCTGTTGTTTCATTTGACACAGTCTCTTTTCCCTGTCCATTTCAGAAACCCTGCGTTTTAAAAATATATATTGATTTTTTAGAGGGAAAGGAAGGGAGAGGGAGAGACAGAAACGTCAGTGATGAGAGAGAATTATCTATTGGCTGCCTCCTGCACACCCTCTATTGGGTATGGTGCCTGCAACCCAGGCATGTGCCCTGACTGGGAATCGAACCAGAGACCTCTTGGTCCCTGGGTCGATGCCCAACCTCTGAGCCGAGACCCTGCTTTCTGAAGGTGAAATTTTGTAGGAAACTCAGATGACTCCATGTTTGCCCTTTGGAATATAGGAAAGTTGGTTGCTCTGTGAAGAACAGACTCGGAAACTTCTCTCAGTAGGGAAGCGGTTTGAAGGCTCGCTTGCTCCTATCAGCTGTTAAAACAAGGCGGTGGCTGTTGGTGGCATGACTGCGGTTAACTCTGCTGGGATCGATGGTGGCGTTTTGCCTCCCCGTGTCAGTTTTCTGAAAGATCCATGCTGCTAGGCAGGAAAAACGTCTGGGTGCAGGGGGTCATGTCTGTCTTTTTGGTGACGTTGGGAGGGGAAAGAGCAAGACTCCAAACCTTATTCATGTTGGAGGACAGAACACCTGCCCGTCGCTAACCTTATTTTTGCTTTTAATAATGGTCAGGATGATAGTCTTGTGTTGGGACAAACGTGTTTGTGGGTCGTTTGGTTCCCCGTGTGGTAAGCTTTACGGGTTTGTGGAAGAGCTGAACGGCTGTGCATCCGAGCCTACGGCGGGACGCAAACATGGGATAGCTCTTTGTTTTCTTAAGAGAAGTTTTGTAACTTCTCTTAAGTCATGACCTACTTTGATAATCTGATGAATGCTTGAGACCCCTCCCTCCATAGAGAAAATACATGTGTGTACACACAGGTTTGCATATAATTTGTAGGATTTCATCACTCACCTTAGTTCCTCAAGCCCTTTAAATATCCTTAACCTGAGGTGAAAATCCCTATAAGATGAGAAAAACAGTATTATTTCTTTATAGATACCTGTGTGTGTGTGTGTGTGTATTTGTTTCTTATCCATGATTCCTAGAGAAACCAGATATAGCTACTTCTGCGAATGCTTCATATTTTTTCTAGTTTAGCTGAGAAATTCTCACTATCAAAATTTTTCTGTACTAGGATGCATCTTTCTGTGGGTCTTCTTGTCCTACTCACACTAATTATCATTCTCATGAGTAGGGTTTCTACTTCATGGGCTTTCCTCCCCCCTGTAAATTGAATGAATCATTTCTTAGAAGTATTAGCTTTACTTCTGCATGGAAATCTTGATTCCTAGAAACAAGATTGCATCATGTTTTTCAGTTTGGCTTTCTCCCCCCATGGGTAGTTTGAGTGGAAGGGATAGTTTGTACCCAACCAGGTTTGCTCCAAAGCCTCTTTATCTTAGAATCGGGTTGCGATTTGTTCAGTTAATGTTGTTCCAGACAAGAGACTTGTGCTGAAAAGTTTGAAAACTTACTTTGGCGCCTGCTGTGAAAAGGAAGAACTCTGGAGCCGGCAACTACAACTTCTGTCTTTTCCCTAATCACATCCCCTCATGCTGAGACGAGCCTGTCTCCTTGAATTTGCTTCTGGAAAAATGCATAGACTAGATGCATATTCTTTTGGAAACATTACTTTAAATTAATATTTTGGTTTTCTTTTGCGCAAAGAGTGCCATGAAGCTCAAAACTAATTAGCAATGGAAACTGCAACGCCCAGACTTACTGTTTGACCAACTTGTTTCAATTTATGTCTTTCAAGTAACATCAGATGCTAAGGCTGCCAGTATTAATTGGGTTTCTCATCCAGTCCCATCTAGTTCATAGTTTGCTTTTTAAAATATGATAAACATGTTAAATTACTTAGTGGATATACTTAGAGGAACTTGAATTTCAGAGATCAAAGGTAATGGGATCAAATTTAACTTTAAAATATGCACAGAAAAATTGCTTACTTTTGCCCAAAACATGTCTGTAATATTTTATGTTATACTAGAGCCTGGTGCATGGATTCTTGCACATTGAAAGTAAATTAATTAGAAGGTGGCTGGCAGGGTGGGGGGGGACTGGGTGAGATGGGTTGGACACGCCCTGGAGCCAACCTCCCGAAGTCCCTCCCCAGCCGGTCCCACCTGGGGCAGCGCCGGGGCTCGAAGGGCTTCTGTGAAGTGAGTGGAGTCCCTCCAGCAGGTGGGGTCACTCGGCCTGGCCTGTGGGGATCCCTCTCACAATCCAGGACTGCTGGCTCCTAACTGCTCACCTGCCTGCCTGCCTGATTGCCCCTAAGCGCTTCTGCCTGCCAGCCTGATTGTACCCTAACCGCTCCCCTGCTGGCCTGATCGCCCCCAATTGCCCTCCCCTGCTGGCCTGTTTTTCACTCCTAACTGCCCTCCCCTGCTGGCCTGATCTCACCCCCAACTGTCCTCCCCTGCTGGCCTGATCTCGTCCCCAACTGCCCTCTCCTGCAGGCCTGATCTCGCCCCCAACTGTCCACCCCTGCCAGCCTGGTCGCCCCCAATTGCCCTCTCCTGCTGGCCTGATTGCCCACAACTGCCCTCCCCTTCCGGCCATCTTGTGCTGGCCATCTTGTGGCGGCCACCTTGGGATGATGTCGCCGTGGCCATCTTGTGACAACATTGCATGATGTCTCCTCGGCTTTTATTATATAGGATAGATTGCTTTTTTTGAGCTTTTTATTAATATCAACTTTCCCTAAGATGTTCTCATTATTTGAACATCTCAGACTTGATTTGTTTCTCGCCTTATAACTACATTTTTAATGGAATTAAAATAAAAGTGTGAAAAATTGTAATGTATCAAGTAGTAATTTATCAGCGTTAGGGACATTATTTATTTGTCTTGTATGTGGTGTCAGAGAAGAGCCATTGTTGAGGGTTGTACTGGGATTGGTAGAAGACTGCACTGTTCCTAACTGAGTTGTCACTGTTGTGGGCAGTGGTAAGGTACTCACATTTACTGGGTAACGGCCAGGGATGCTGCTAAAAATTTCAGGTTAATAGGACAGCCCCCACAACAAAGAATTATCCTGCCCCAGTGTCGCAGTTGTGAGTGGAGCATAGGAAGCAGTGTGTTCAGTGGAATCGGACCTTCCTTTATGTGGGTGGCATTGTTTCAAGTACAATTGAATCATGAGGACTCACAGCTTGAGAAGTGTTCCACCCTCTCGTGGTTTTGCGAGAGAAAATGCACTTGTCTTATGGGGACATGCACCGCTGGGCCAGGTTCCTCTCCATTCCTCCCAGATAAAGGCAGGATATGGTTTTCAGCAGCTGCCTTGGCTTTGCTCTGCAGGTGGAATGTGAAGCATCTGCCCCACAGAATCTGGATCTGCTCCCTTGAGGGTAAATTGCAACAAACCCAGTTTTGTAGGTTTTGCTGCTTCCCAGGAATTCTTTGAGGTCATCCACAACTTTGTACACATCCAGAAATTAGACCTCTCCACATTTTCCTGGCCGAAATCCTAGACTTAGTCTTGTAGTTCCTACACTTAAAAATGTCCAGTCTAATAGAAAAATAATGTCCTTGTAAAAATAAAATCGAAGCCCTTCAATAGCCAACATTCTTTACAGCTCAATTAATGCTAGAAAAGAAATTAGGAATTCAATTACCAGCCATACCTAGGAGACTAGACCCTGTTTGGATTCTCAGATGTCCCCACCTCCTATTATTCAGCTTTATTCCTTGCTCTGCAGCAATTTCCCCCTAAATGCCTTTTGTTCTGTAGGTGCTGGGTTACAAAGGTAAACCAGAAGGACTGAGTCCCCACCCTTAAGGTACTTACAGTCTAGTCATGACACAGAAACTGAACCAGCAGTCATGTAAGTAGCTGTGTAATATCAGTAGTGATCTCGGAATGAGGGGCATTTGTCACAAGCTGGAAGACCTCTGTGAAGGCAGATGTTTATTAAGATAAAAGATTTTTCCTGAACGACATTGACTAAGATAGAAGAGATGAATCGGAGCCTGCCTGTAGAACAGGGATAAGCAAAGGCAAGTCAATGCTTGGCAAATTTAAGGAATAAAAATCAGTGGTGGTTTTGGTGGGCAGGATAATGGTACCCCCCAAAACCATCCACCCCATAATCCCAGGAACTGTGGATGTATTGGTTTACATGATAAAAGAGCCGTTGAAGACGTCTTTCCGGATCCTGAAGTCAGAAGGCTCAGGATAAGCCAGTGGTTAAAACAGTGAGGTCAGAGGGTCCTGTTCTAGTTCTTGCTTGGCTTACTCGCTGTGTGTTATCTGTCTAATCACAGTTATCTAATGTGGCTTCTAGGCTGACCTAAGTCTTCTCCCTATCCCATACTCTTTCCCTGTCCTATGGTTGGTAACTTAACTAAATGTTCATGTGACACTAATAGGGATTGAATCATGTGGTGTTTCCACTAATAGCTCAAGTTGGAGTTAATGCAAAGAGAAATCTCCAGATAAAACCTCTGAGAGCGCCATTAGAGTGCAGGTTCATTGCATGCTTGTTGTCTGAGGTAATTAAAATCTTGTTTATTACAATAAGAGATCACAGGAGTTGTTGATTTAGACTTATTGGTGCTTTATGAGTTGAAGTCTTCAATAAGCTTAAATGATCCAAATTGATTGTGTGTGCCCTTTCCAGTGAAACTCACAGCTGGTTCATTTCAGCTCTGTTTAGAGCATCCTCGTAAGTGAATAGAGGCAACGACTTTT